TCAGAATTAAAGCTGTAACTCCATCTCTGTAACCCTCATGTGTGCCTTTGGTAGCAATCCAAATAGGGTTTCTGACCTTTCTTAAGCTACCTTTATATTCTTTTTTTTATTATTCTCTTTCTTTAATTGTTTTTTTATTCTTCTCCTTAAATGGAAAAGTATAGAGCAAGATGACAGGACGCTTCAGAAATGATAGTGATTTCTATCTGTCTCAGATTCAGATAAAATAGAGCTCCTTAGGGACTTCAGTTTACATATTTTTCCAAATAAACAATTGTTAAATTCATTAATTTTTGTTCCTCAGTGTTTTTAGACTTAGAGACGTTCCTATTGCTCATTTCCAACATTTGCAACAGAATTTCATGCAAGAATTATTGATCAGAACTCACGACAGTGCATTTGTATTTTCATATCTATCTTGAATACTTTGCTCAAGCAAAGGATACCAATACTGTTCTTTTCCCTGATGTTTTGCATCACTTGCAGTCAGTAAAGGTCCTTTTAATAAATTTCCTCAAAGAGAAGGTTGAAATACTGCCAGTTGTCACAAACTGGTTGGCAGTATCAGCAGCAGAGTGTGGTTTATAAGGAATGTAAATAAAAGTATCTACCCAGAGTTCAATAATGAATGTTGGGTTTTTTCCACAGTGCTCCTGGTCCATTCAACACACAGGATGGCCCTGCTCTACAAGCATCATTTGGAAGACTTTTGCTCTTTAGAATACTTGACACACAAAGTTCTCTGATCAAATTTTCTCCCATTCTGGATAATAATTTATAGACAAGAGCTCTAGTTTAATTGTTAAATCCCATGTTTACCTACAGACAAAGCAATAATGACTAAATAAATTAATTTCAAAGCTTAAAAAATTATGATCCATCAATGGGGCCTGTGCGTAAATTTCTGACACTATTCATAACATCACAACAGCTATCCCTCAGATGAATCAAAGAAGGAATTGAAGACTGTGTTAGACCTCAACAAAAGTTGGTGATGGCACAAGAAAACTAATATAGGCCATGTTAAATTCAACTTTCTGGCTAAAAGTGTATACCACAGTTCACCAACTCTTCTGTCCCTACATATATGCTCCCTTTCCCTTCACTTAATGTTTCCTGATCCTATGTTCAGTTATCTTTTCCTCCTCTTAGTGCCCATTTTTGCCATCTTCCTTGCTGCTACTTAAAACATGCTATACACAAATGCAGCTCCCTATCCTTACTCTTAACACATAATGCTCATACTGACAAATTTTAGTGAACCAAACAAGGATATCTCAAAACATAAGAAGAATTAAATTTCACTCAAAAATACATTGTATGGATATAATTAGCACATAAAAATGCATGTGCTCCGTCCTCTTCATAAGCCAAATAAATTTTCCAAGAATGATTACATAGGAATTGAGTACAACTGATGTTTCACAATTTCTGTGTTAGAAACCACATAGATGTTAGACCCTGAAATGTGATGAAAACCTGTGTTTGCAGTACTCAAATAATTAAAAAATAAATGGGGAGAGGAGAGGACAATAGGCAGGGAAGAGTTTTAAAAAAAATATTTCATAGTAATTTTTCAGCATTGAATACACTTATTAATTCCAATATTACTATACAAAGTCAATGAAGAAAATATTAACGATATAACTACACTGATTCCATCACCTCTGCCTAATAAGCATCTACCAGAAACACAAGTTGCCTAAACAATAGGTATAGAAGGGAAATATTCTTATCCTCAGTAGCCTTGAAGGTACTTAAGCAGACTGGTATGGCAGTGGGGTGAAAAGCTGTACAATGCGTCAAAAGCAACCATGAACTGTGTACAGTTTCTGTAGATTACTAAACTGGATTATGACCTAAGTGTCAATCTCAAATCCAATGAGTGAATACATTTCTCTAAATTCTTGAAGTGTGCAGACTTTAGTTGGCTTTATTCTGGTAGCTTATATGTGTATAAAATCTAAAAAGTCATTTCATCACTAAATGGCATCTAGTGCTAAGCATTTTAAAATAAATAAATAAATACAATAATAAATAAATAAATAGATGGATGTCAGTAAGTACCCAATAAAGCACAGTTTGAAACATGCAGTTTTCCTCAGAAAACGATACTTGCATGAAAGAATTGCAAGGTGATATTTAAAACACAAATGCACCTTGGAAAACTGAGCAAGGTGTGAGGGGATGTATCACATCTGTGCAAAAACCAAAGCAACAAATTCCACTTAGTTGTTTGAATCAGTCTGAAAACTTCACTACATCACATTCTGAACAGCACTCACGTTTCTTCAGCTCTGAGGCAAAAAAAGCATTTTCACAACTGCCATCACTTCAACTCTCAGTCTTAACAGAAGATTGTTCTGTCTGACTTGTGCATCAGCAATAGGTTACGTGCATCAATTTCTGACCTTTGCTTCAGCTTTGAAATATCACCAATTTCAAATTTACCCACCCTAACACACTGGGCTGAATGCTTTGTGTCACAGAAGTGACAAAA